CGTCCGCAAAACGACGATGAGGTGGCCGTAGCGACAGGTAGTGCTGCCAGAAAAGGTTAGCTGTCCGGAGCAGAGGCGGCATGCCGGGTAGAGGCGCGTAGGCCTGCGCAAAGAAAGGCTTGACGAATGCTCTGCCTACTTTGCACCTGGAAGACGTAATGGCTGACCCGAGGCGACCCGCTGTACGAATGGCTGTGTGTGGGTCAACACAGCCTTCCTGGAGCTGCACTTCGAGATCTCGAAGCCAGCGCCGGGCCTTCTCTGGCGACGCGGATGATGAAATGGCTCCTCCTTCGAGGTAGACTTCCACTACCGTGCCCAGTACAGGGAGCCTCAAAGTAGCATCTTCGTCTTTAGCTGGATCTGTAACCAAGCCCAACAATGCCAGGACTTCGGTCACCAACCAGCCTCCTGTGACTCCCACGCCCTTCCTCGACACTCCGAAGAAATCGTCCACGTACCTGAATACAGGCGCGTGGAACTTTACGAGGACAACGTGCCGGACAAAACTCCCTAGCCGGTGCCGCGCCGCATTTGCGGCTGAGGCTCCAAACATCATGCCGAAATGGCGTGCGCACCACAACTTACCGTTCCAGGTGAAAACAAACCACGAGAATTCCTCGTGCTCTGCTGAGATTGGAACCCGCCGGTAAGCTTTTGATACGTCCCGTTTCCACAGGCGAGGTTCGACTCCATGACGGAGAAGGTGAAACGCAGCTGATACTAGCTCGTCTATTCCGTCATGCTGGGCCCGATCAGGGATGAAAGTGGCTTTGTTCTGCCCCCCTTCCGTTTCGTCATCAATTGGCCTCGTTCTCCACCCTTTTGAACGCTCTTCCCTTACCGGAAAACGTCTCGCCAGGGTTTTGGATTGCACGATGTCTTGAGTTAGCAATTGAGGGACTGAGCAGAAGCCATCCCTGGCATCTTCTAGGGTGAGCATCATGATGTCATCGTCCCATTCGCTGGGTCGCATCTCCGTGATAATCCGCAAATTTCTGTCTTCGCGTTCGTTCCTCAGCTGCTCTACCTCGACAGGGTTCCAGGTAGGCTTGCCGTCGGGCCGCGTGTCCGGCCCGCTCCGAGGAAGCTGACCGACCAACGGGAATCCCGCTAAGTCGTCTAATAATTGCGGATCCTGTGATTGGTAGTTCAACTCAGCGAACAAGGAGTGAAACAAAGGAATATGGAGTTTCGCTGCAACAGGATTGCACTCGCTGTCCAGTTGTGGAGTGCTAGCAATTCCTCTGCTCGCGGAGGCCGCGCGTTGCTGCAGTTCTTGGAACGACGCAAGGCGAAAAGCATCTATGTCTTGAGCTCCATGGTCCCTCTCCCAATCTAGAGCCAAACGGACTCTATCAGGAAGTACTCTGTGGAGTAGATCTTCTTCGTCAGGATGCCGTGCGGCGAGCGCGAAAGCTACGTGCTCCATGACCGAGAGCCCCTTTGGGGCGCCCAGGCCCCGCGGAACAAACGGTTCCTCAGGGTCAAGTAGGGCATGGTTGTGGTCACTTGCACAATCGGCACCGCTGCTGCCGGCATCTGCTTCCCCTGCATGCGCAGAAGATAGTCAATGCGACCCGCGACCGCCAGACTTCCCCGCCTTCCTGTCCTTGAAGTTCAGGAACTTCATCCGCTTGTTGCTGACCCAGCCCTCGGTCTCAGAGTGCTGCCAGTTCGTGTTGTCGGCCCCCTTCTTTCCTCCTCCTTTGCCCCCCTTGCCGTCCGCCAGCTGCTTCTGCGCCCGCGCGTGCGTCTGCTTCGCCTGGCTGAGCTGCTGCTGCGTGTGCGCCAAGGACTTGGCTGCCTCCGCCGAACGCTTCTGGATTGCGTCGGCTGCTGCCTGCTGCTTGGAGAGGACGGACTCAAGAGGATATTGCGAGGGGAGCGAAGCGCCTGCTGAAACCGGCGCGTTGGTCGACCTCAGACCTGCTGCCTCGAGCACGGACTCCAGGCGCAGTGTGGCCGCCTCAAGGATTGTCTCGTCCACCGTTCTGAACGATTTCTGCACGTCCAGATCTGGCTCCGATAAGTTTGCCCTCTTGGCCAACTGCCGCCGGAACAAATCATCGTATAGGATGATCAGGAACTGGCTGTGCTTCACCGACTTGTGCTTCTCCACGAGCTTCGCCAACTCGTCTTTGTAGCAGATGACAGTGGCCCACGTTAGCTGCTGCATTGCCACGGCTGCCACCGCGTAGCGGTCGAATGCCGTGGTCCACTGCACGAAGGACCGGAAGAAACGGCGGGTGGCCGTTGCACTCCTCAACGCGCTGGTAAGCTGACCGAGCGTTGCAACTGACGACGACGGGTCCAGCGTCGAACCCCATTCGCCACCTGTGAGTGCCTTACCCCCGATGGCGTCTGAGGGGAGCCACAGCGGGAGGATCTCTTTGGCTGTGAGATCTACATACGAGAACGCTTTCCGACTGTTCTTCTCAGCGGCAACGTTCTCTGCGTGCAGCACACGCCAAACCAGCTCTTCAGCCTGGAGGTGGTACGGGAGCCCTCCGAGCCCCGCTTTGGCAAGCTTGTCTGCGACATTCACCTTGTCAGGTGCTAACGCCAACAGCTTTGCCACCACCTCTGCTGAGTAATCTGCCCCAACCATGTCCAGGACATCCTGTTGCATGGCTTGGGGAAGGGTTGGCTGGTGCTGCTGTGGGAGAACAGATGTAGCAGGTGCTGACGCTGCACCACTGCTCTGCTGCTCGGGGTTTGCAAACCGAATTGTACGACGGGCGAGTCCCAACACAGGTAAGGGCAAGTCGTTCTTCACATCTTTTTCAACCAGGCCGATCAGCTGACCAGGGTCGGTGATCTTGTTCTCCTTGAAGTAGGCCGCCGTTGCCGCCAGGATCTCTCCTGCTGGCTCTTTGGCGTCCACGTTCTTGATGTAAGTCTCCAAAGAAACCTCTGCCATCGGGAGAACTGGGATGACCAGAAGCTGAAAGTGTGTACAAGTTTTTGCGCTCAACCGCTTGAGCCGCCTGAGCCCAGACGGCTACGGACCCGCTCTCTCCGTCCCGTGTGGCGCAGCACACGATGCATTCGCTGGGGTCACCGAAAGAAGCAGCACCTGCTCGGTCTGGGTCGAGAGCCCAGGAATGGATGAGAGCGAAGCACGGTTATTAGCTGAGGTCCCACCAGGACCCCACAAGAAACGAGTTGCTCTGACAGGATTCGGAGGCGAGTCCGTGAATGGCGACAATGGCGAAGCACGGTAACTCCATGACGGTCGTGCGACGACAGCCGAAACCAGAGGGGAGAGGAGGAGCACGGAATCTCAGATCGCGGCGGGGCCAGAGATCTGGAACGCAGGACGCCTGAAGCCCTCCGACAGGATGGGTGCCGGCGCCGTTGCCCTGCTCCTCTCCTCCCTGCACCGCCTGTTGTCTGAGCACGACACCCACTCGAACGCCTCGCTCTCCGAGACTGTCTGGTGGCTCCCTGCTGGGAGGGGACGACAGACGAAGAGAGGGGGAAGAGGAGGAACTCGGAATCTAAGATCGCGGCGGGGCCAGAGCTCTGGAACGCTCGGCGCCTGAAGCCCTCCTACAGGATGGGTGCCGGCACCGTCCCAACTCCTCCCTCCACTCCACGACCGTCGTCCGAGAGTCGTTCACTGGCTCCTTTGGGCAAGCTCCCAACGAGTTGGGTTTCCGCCCAAAAACTTTGGAGCCTCCAGGGGTTCTCCTGGGGATCCTTCAGAGGCGATGCCGAGACGATGTTGGAAAGCAACCTCTGTCGGACCCCACCTCCGACGCCCAAACATGGAAGAACGGCCAGAGTGATTAGTGCATTTGCTTCCCAGACACATGAATTTCGGGATCAGCGGGGACTCGCGTTTGCTTGAGGCACCGTGCTTGCTGCTGATTCTACTGCTTGCTGTCGTTCGCGGGTGCTTGCTGCTGCTTGACTTGCGATCTTTTTCAGTCTCACTCTCATGCAGACTGTGTGAGTATCCAGTATGTTCAAATCAGAGCGAGTGTGCCGCACGGTCTTGCACCATCCCTGGGTGCGCGGGTGAAGTGGCAGTCCGTGGTCCGAACGCTGCTCGTCTGTTGTCGTGGTCGCCCCCCACCCCCCCGCGACCCACCCGCGACCCACGCGGCGACCCACCCCGCGACCCACCTCGAGGGGTGCTGCGTCACCACCTCATCCAGGGAGCTGGCACGCCCGAGAGCACTGCGGCCGTGGGTCGAGCCGTTCCCCATTCTCGGCTACACCTCAGAGTGACCCGACTCAGCTCCACGGAGAAGTCATCCAACCCCGAAAATCCCCGGATTTCCCACCCCCGGACAGCCCGGACAGCCCATGCTGATTAATGACGGCAAGACGGCCCACCCAGGCAACCCCTTGGACGACCCAGCGGGGATCCAGACAGTGCCCCTGCACAACCTCCCTTGGACAGGCCTCCCAAGGGTTTTTCTTCCATGAAATATATTGAGCAAGAGTGACCTTGGCTGCGCGGCTGGCCGGCCGCGGAGCGCGGTGTGACAGCAGCGGCCTGCGGCCTGCGAGCGTGAGCTTGGCCACGCAGTGCCTCCCCCCCCCCCCCGAAAGCCGCACCCCAAAGGTCACTCTGGCGAAGGGTCACTCTTACGCGCAACCAGCTTAGCATGGGGGAAGCGGGTCCTGAGCGAACCAGGTCCTGGACCCCGGGGACTACTCCCAAGACTAGCTCTTCACCCTCAGTCGTTTTCTGACAGTCCCGGTGCCCGTGGAGGGCCCGAAGAGCCCGACAACGGCGAAAAACCTCCTCAGAATCCGTTTCCCTCAAGACTCGCTTCCCCCCTGGCGATACGTGCGGCCGAGATTTTTCTCGGGGATCTATTGACCCGGGTCAATCCAGACCCGGGTCAGTCAAGCTTTGCGGGATCCTGACCCTGCAAGATCCTGCAGGATCCTGCAAGATCCTGCGCCGAAGCCCTGGTCAGCGCCCCCCCGAGCTCTGCAAGATCCTGCAAGATCCGGCGCTCTGACTGACCCCCGTTTGCATTGACCCCCGTCTCAAGGCTCCCGATCTTCGTTCTCACACTCGCGGCCGGCCCGCTCACCCCATCAGCGGCGGCCCGCCCTCCCTGGCCCTCGCCAGCGCCATGGCCGTGGCCTGCGCGGCGAACTCCACGGCCGCCTGGCGCCCCCCCCACGCCCGCGCGGCGACCGCCGACGCCCGACGTCGAAGCCGCCACCGACGATGCCGAAGCTGCCGCCGACGCCGTCGCCAGCGACGACGGCTCAGGTCAGAGGCAGTTCCATGAGGATGGCAACCTGCAAGAGGGCCGCCACGCGACAGCAAAATGTCGAGACCGCATGGCAGGCTCCGAGGAGGACGACGACGTGGAGGAGGAGGAGGAGGAGGAGGAGGAGGAGGAGGAGGAGGAGGAGGAGGAGGAGGAGGAGGAGGAGGAGAGGAGGAGGAGGAGGAGGAGAGGGGGGGACTGCAGCGAGTGGGACGCGGGGAGGGTGACGAATGGGACGAGGAGGGGGACGAGGGAAAGGCAGACGAAGAGGACAAGGAGGGAAGGAGGATATTCCTCTTGGACTTCAAGTCGGCCAGCGGTCAGGTGCAGTGGGTCAACGATCTTGAGATTATGGTTAAGGACGATTGAGCAGCATGTGATGTCAACCCGTAGGAAGATACACAAGGTAGGAGATCAGTGAGGTCATAGATTGAGACGGATACCTTTCAACGCCGCGCAGAGCGGAGCGATGGCATTAGTTAGAGTCGACCAGGAAGGATGTAAAACCATATCGGCTCAAGCTACAGGGGAAGCAACACTTGGGGAACAGCCGAGCGAGCTTTACGTCGACTATCGGCCACAAGGCGGCGGTCTCGAGCATTTTAATCAGATTCACGAGCATGGGTTGTAAGAGCTCCAACAGCGAAGCTATTTTGACATGTAGTTCCCTGAGCAGGGCATGCTAAAACTGCTGTCGATCATTTTAGCTGGTACGCCGAGTGAGACAATGAACGAGTTGGTGGATCACTGGGTGTTTGGCGTGACCGATGGCCAGTCCAGGGTAGACAGAGCGGGGTACACCCAATGAAACCCTGAACGAGTTGGTGGACCGCGGGGTGCAAATTATGGCGCAAGACATAACACACGTAATCAATTACACCTACTGAAGTAATGGACGAAATGACGGATCGCGGGGTATCTGGCATTATCTATGGTGTGAGGTAGCAGCCGGCTTGGTGGATCGCGGGTGCATGGCGCGATCCATGGCGCAACCTGTGGCTCAACCCATCGTAGACACAGTGAAATCATCAGGCAAAACAGCGATTTGGTTGAACGTGGGGTTTCTGACACAACCTACGGGGCAAATTGCAGCAGACAGGGTGGGGCACACGCGCTGAGGACCCAAACGATTTGGTGGCCTAAGGAGTGCCTGGTACAACCCTTGTCGCAGTATTCCCTAAGCAGCGAATGCTGTGAGGGCCCTGTGCAATATTAGAGGGTCCAACCGTTGAAGCATCGGACGTACTGGTGGCCCGCGTGGTGTCTGGCGCAACCTATGGCGCACCCTAATGATCAACCGATGGCACACTCCCAGAGGGAACGGGCAATGTGGTTGCCCGCGTGGTGTCTGGCGCACCCAGTGGCGCAACCTTAGCGCAACCCGTGGCACACTTACTAAAACGACGGACGAGATGGTTGCCCATTGGGTGCCCGGAAAAACAATTGTCGCAACTCATGGCACTCCCACTGAGGTCATTGACGATCTGGTTGCCCACGTGGTGTCCGCCGAAACCCATGTCACATTTACTGAGGCAACGGATTATATGGTTGCCCGCGGGGTGTCTGGAACAAACTCTGGCGCAACAACTTATGGCACACGCACAGATGATTTGGTTACCCGCGGGGGATCTGGCGCAAGCTATGGCGCAACTCATGACACACCCCTTCAGGCAACAGACGATGGATTTCTCATGGGGTCTGGCGCAACCCCCATGGCAGATGCTGCTGAAGGTCTCTTGGCAGGGTGGTATCTTTTGTTATCGACGCTGTGCCAAAGACGGCACACGGTGTTGCCAATTGTGTCAGGCCGCTAGACTCGGACGCCGCCTGGCGGTGCCGCTGGACACACTCGCCGCTGAGCGCGAGCTCTGAAAGGCCACGGGAGTGGCACTGGTAGGTGGCGACGTCCGAACCCTACCCCCACCAACCATCGATTCTCTTGAATCGATGGGAGGCGGGGGTAGGGGTCGGATTTCGCCACGAGTTCGACGAATTCCGAGCCCTACCACTGCCGCCCATCGACTTGTCCGAATCGCTGATCGGCAAGCTTAGGGTTCGGATTTCAACGCCGAACTGAGCGCGGTAGGCTACGGCCGTGTGAGAAGTCCTGCTTCCCCTCCTTCCCATTTCCGGTCGCGTCCGTGGTCCTGGGCCACATCGCGGGCAGGGGCACACAAGCTGCGGCGACAAGCAGCCTGCTCCAGCTCGCCCCCCCCGACCACCCCCCCCCTGCTTGGGAAGACACCAGATTCAGAGAACGCAGGGCCTCCTGGCCGATGGACGGCTCATCGTGGGCTGCCTTGCCCAAGCTGACGGTGGGGGCAGCGCCAGGGTCCCGCCCTCGGGAGGACACTCCTGATCCGATGCCCCTCCCAGATCGCAATCGTCGATGACGGGCTCGCGTCGGCAGCGGCCGAAGAGACGCAGCAGGTAAACACGAGACGAGGCGGGGCGGGCCCTCCTGCGACTCCTCGTCGCTCAACTGCGGCGGGTTTAGCAGGATCCGCACGGCCTCTCTGGAGGGGCGGGCGCCAAAGGGGGCCTCGTGGCCTCGTCGCGTCTCGCTGATGCCGTCGCCGCCTGTGCCGTCCCGCCGATGCTCCTGCTCCATGCTCTCGCCACTCATGCTGCAGCAGCTGGTGGTGCTGCTGCTGCTGCTCCTCCTCCTCCTCTTCCTCCTCTTCCTCCTCCTGCGCATGATGCCGCTGACGCTGGCTCCCGCTCCCCATCGGGCCAAATCCCCTCCTCTTGCTCTCTGCTTGCTCGTATTCGCCTCAGGGGGAGATCTCGCCTCAGCCCGCTGGGCGTCTGTGGCATGACGTGCCACGTCTTCTAACAGACCCCGCCCTTCCCACCGCCGGGCCCTCCTCCTCCACCTGCCCGTGTTCCTGCTGGCCCCCTCCCTGCCCATCCACCCTTCCTCTTTCTCCTCCCTCCGCCCCTGTGCTCCCTGCCCCTCACCGCCCGTGGCCTCCGCGGCGTCCGTCTCTGTCAGGCAGTGCTTCGCGTGCGTGCCTCGGCGGGCGGGGAATCCGAAACCCCCTTCTCCCTGTGCCCGCCGCCCCCCCTCCCACTCCCTGCCCTTGAAGCCAGCCCAGGCAGAGCGTCGGGGGCAGGCGGTGCCTCCATGGTGGGCCAGCGAGCGAGCGAAACGCTGGTGCAGGCTCATCCGGCGAAGCGGGTGTGCCTGTGCCCGTTTGGGCAAGGCGCGCGAGGTCGTGGCCTCTCAAACCCTGTAGAATTCTGGCTCGCAGAAATATTCTCGTGGTGGTGAGGGGGGGATGAGGGTTCTCCCTCCTCCTCCTCATCCTGCTGCTGCTCATGGCGGTCAAGGAAATCCTGTGGCCATGCAAACCTGTCCTGCCCATCCCACCCGGCAAAGACCAGGGTGGGGCGAGGCTCATTAGGGAGAAGGTGACAAGAGAGCATGATATCACAAGCGAGGTGAACAAAAAGGTGAAAGTGGGAGGTGCACGGACATGTCTTACCTCCGCTTGTAGAAGCCGCCTGGGGGTAGCCGCAGTGGTTCGCTCTTTTGGAGAGGGGCAAAACCTCCCGGGCGGCGGTGATGCGAATGCTGTGGGAGGCGGCAAGGCTGTAGCACGCAACGATGGGCGGGAACAAAAGCGCGGGATAGAGCGAGGGAGACAAACAAGTCTGACATGCAAGGTAAAAGAAGCAAGCAAAAGATGAGGCAATGTCTGCGTTGTCATTCCCTTCCCCCAACCTGATGTGAACCTCGTCCGCGTCCCCGCGTCCCGCCCCAAGCCCTGCCGTGCCTGTCTTCCTCAGAGGTGGAGGTCGTCGAGGACGTGGAGGTATGGGGGAGTGTGCGGGGTAGAAGAACTGGTGGTAGGGTGCCCTGCCTGTTCCACTGAGGTAGTAGTCGTCGAGGAAAACGATGTGGATGGAGTGAACGATGTCGGAAGAGAGGTTGATGCGCGTGACCGTCGGAGGCGGATGTCGATGAAATCATCGAGGTCGACGGAACCGTCGGAGGAGTGGCTGGCCACTGCCCTGCCTCCCTCCACTGTGCGTGTCAACGTGGGGGCTGGAGTAGGTTGAGTGTTCGGAGTCGGACGTGTGGATGTCTCACATAGCCGTTGGTGGCTGAGTGATGGAGTGGGTTGTAGTGCCTGTGGTCGGCGTCGGGCGCATTGGCACCTCGTGCGGCTTCGCGCAGTCGCGAGGGCGGCTACCGCCAGTGGTTCGGGCCGTAGCTGGGTGACGTAGTCGTTGAGCTTGTCGAGGAATTCGTGGGCGAAATCTTTGGCCGAAGTGATCTCCTCCTGAATTTCCTCGACCGTGTTGTGGCTGACCCGTGGTTATCTTGCCGTTGTGTCGAGGGTGTCGAGCTTGTCCAGGATGTCGTGGTGGTGGGGCCGGTAATCGGTGATGATGTCTGCGATCAAGGCCTGTTTGCTGGTTCGCGTGCTGCTCGATGGTCCTACGTGCCCGAAGCTCGTTGTTTTTTTGTTGTTGGAGGGCATGGTGAATATTGTGACATCGTCGCCCTCGTTGACAATGATGGTGCCGTGGGCACGGGAGTCTTCGTGCTTGGTGTAATCAAGGTAGCGTATGGTGGCGCCTATAGGAAAGGTAATTGTCTCGGGGCTACCTTCTCTCGGGTGATCGTCATAGCTGGGAATCAGCCAATTGGTTTCTGGGGCTCGACATGTACGGGGGGTGGTTGGTTGTTGTTCGTGCTCGACGTAGTAGTACTTGGCGTAAGGTCGGAAGAACTGGATGCAGTAGTGTGCGCGTGCTGTTCTCCTGCTGCGGATGCTCCCAGCTCGGTGCTCGTAATGTCGTGGTCGATCTTGTCTTCCGCGTGTGCTGTGTTATCCTTCTTTGATGGTCGGAACTATGGGTGGGGCTTTGAATCTCGCCGGCTTGGGGTCTGGGTTGCGCGTGTTTTGATGAGAGATTTGATAAGCTGGACTGGGTGTCGCGCGCGAAGGTGCGGTTGCTGGCAGTGTGATGGTCATGGTACTGCCGCTGCTGGTAGGTATGGTCGTGCGAGTCACATGGGCTGTGTCGGTCGCAGGCGTCGATGCTAGTTGCTCCTTATGGGTCGTTTCTCCCTGTGAGGTCGGTACGCACTTCGGGGGGATGTCGATGTGAATCTCGCGCTCAAGCATGCTGTGGTCGTCGTACGGTGCAAGTATGGGTTTGGGTCTCCGTATCTGCTTGATGCGATGGAGGATGTAGCATGCGCGTGGTGGGTGGATGCCAGCCTCTCGTATCGGTGCGACAACGAGCAAGTTGTCGCCGAAGATGATGAAGGGCTTGTTGGCTTGAGTGAACTGGAAATGGGAGAAGAAGTGGCCTGGTGCTTGCTCGCTGTGCCATATATGTGCTCGGTCGACCCATTCGTGAAAGTTTGGTTCCCGCAGGTAGTCGGTCCGCATCTTTGCGAGGAATGTGTGAATCGTGAGTGTCATGGCTTTGCCAGCCTGCGCGCGCATGGCTGGATGCCCTGGCATTGGGGGGTAGTCGGTGAGGGATGGGGGTGTATGGGCCTCAGGCTGTGGTGGAAGCTGCCGTCCCTGTTGATGCTGAAGGCCTCAATGTTCTCGTCGGTGAGTGCCCGGGTACAGCGTGGGTTGGAACTTACCCGTATCAGAGCTCTGGCAATCATGGAGTCGGCATAGATGGTGGCGTCGGGCTCGTGGCTGGCGTTGCGGAGCTGTGTGCGTCTCCATGCGTAGGCCCAAATCAGAGCTGCTAGCTCTGATGTGGTGGAGTTGCCGGGGGAGTTGTCGTCTCTGGATGAGATGTTGTTGTGCGCTCCGATGCTTCCCTGGTATGTGGGTATGTGAAGCCTTGTTCGTCTTCGGCAATAATAGCCGGCGCCCACGGGTCATGTGTGGGGTCGCGCTGGTGTGTGCCATCTGTGCACAGGTGCCATCTTTTGACCTGTTGCAAGGGTCGAAGTGGGCACAGCTCGAGCGCCATGGCGGCGGCGGGGCGGAAGTCCGGAAAATCAGTGAGGTCATGCTGGTGCTGGGGGTCGGTGGCGATGCGCGCCTCAGGACGGCCGCTATCGGCTCCGTCGGAAGGAAAGGAGCTGTGGCTGTAGAATTCCTCCCTTGCTGTGTGCCTCGAGTGGGAGCGGTTCCCTCGTGGGTGCGTCGGTCTGTAGATGCGCCCTTCTGCGTTGATTTCCAGGTCGCCTCGCGCGGAGCGCGAGCTGTCGTCGCGCGGTGAATCGAATCTAACTGAAATTGGCGTTGTGAAGTCGATGGTTGTCCCGCCATCCCTCTCAGCGGCCAGGCTTGCCGAGCTTCCTCTGTCTCCCTCGAGGTTAGCTGCTGCTGGCGGTGGCTCGGTTTCCCTGCTGGCACGTGTATTCACTGCGTTGCAGCAAAGGTTGTCTGGGGAAATGCGTCGTCGTTTATCTGTGCGACGCTGGAAAAAAAGGAGCATTGCTGCTCGATGAATTCTAGTTCGGCGTGTCGGGAGCGTGCGTTGGGTCGACCCCGTCTGGTCCCGGAGCTATTGGCTGTTGTGGAACTGGTCGTGCCAGGTGTTGTGGCGTGCCCTTCTGTAGACCCTCGTTGTGAGGTGTCAGGGTGTGTCGTGAGTGCTATATTGGCCCTATTGGCCTCTGTGACGGTGGCATCCCCAATGTCGCCGTGCCGCGTCAATTTTTTGAGGTGTGGTAGTGGGTGCCCCCGCCGACGCCGCTGCTGTCGGTGTCGTCGCGGTGATTCATGGGGATGGTGTTCCTCTCGTCTGCTGGGTCAACTGCGCCGTGGCCATTGTCTGCTGCGAAGCGCGCGGAGCGTCGCGGTGCTGACGGAGGTCGGCGTTGTTCCAAACGCCTGGGGTGCATGCGAACCTCTTTCGATGGCTGCGTGGGAGACTTCGGCGGCAGTGATGCTGCGCTGTTGGGTGGGGTGCCAGTGTGAGAAGTCGGTGCTGGTTGGAAATTAATCGGTGTCATGCATTCCGTTGGTGATATGGTTGCTTCCCTGGGGGGCGTGCGTGGTGTCGTTTCTTTCGTCCATGTTGATTGGGCTGTTCGTCCCTCTTCGTCTGCAATCGGTGTCGGTGCCGCGTCTCCCTTGAAGTCGCTGCGTGGGATGTGGAACTTCTCCGACCATGTGCCGTGGTAGTCGTCGTTCCTCGGCTGTGTTGAAGTTGATTCCCAGGGTTCAGCTTGCGGCAGACTCGGTCCGTTGAACGGCGCGCTTGCCTTGTGTTCTATGAGCAGTTCCACGGGTGCCATCTGATGGTTTTTGTTCGTCTCCTTGGTGTGCTGCATCGGCTGTAGTGTTCGGTCGGTTCCTGGGTCGTGGTGCGTGGGTAGTCCCGTCGGCAACGTGTAAGGTGGCTGCGTATTCGTCTTCTGGTGTCGACTTGGCTAAACTGTTCTGGTCCTTCTCGCGGTAGTATCCGGCCCTCTGGGTCTGGGTGCCGTGGTCCTCGATGTCTGGGATCTCGGATTCCTGGATGACGATGGGCTGGTGTCTCGGGTCAACTTCTTGCGGTGGTATCCCTTGTGGCGCCTGCGAGAAGGTGACGACTGAGTCGGGGTCGCCGTGTCTGAACTGTTGGCGAGGTCGTGGACGAAGTCTGCTTCTCTTCCCTTTTTTCATGGCGTGGATCTCTGCTTGGGCGTTCGAGTTCTCGAGCGTGTTGTTGCATCTGTGCCTCTGTAAAATGGTGATTGTTGTGGCGCTGCTGGAGAGAGTGCCCCTGTGACTCTATAGGAGGTCTTTGCTGCGGTGGGCTGGTGTTGGTCGCGATGTATCCGTTCCGCTTGGAGCTCCACTGTCGCGGCGTAGGCCTCTTTGTGCTGGTGGAGCTGTGCGATGTGGTTCTGAGCGACCTCGATCCGCCCATGCAGTGCGTGGATGCCTTCGGTCTTGTTCTGGTACTGCTTCTCCTCTGTGTGCATGATCTGGTTTTGCCCGTAAATCTGGTTCTCGAGGTAGCTGATCCGTTGCTCTGAAAAAAGTGGTAGTTGTGCTGGATGTGCTTGCGGGCCTGGTACTCAATGTCTGCGTTCTTGGCTTCCCCTGTTGCGAGTTCTTGGTTCTTGTCGTGGCTGTTCTTGTGCGTGCTGTTGTAAATGGAGCTGCTGCGCTGTATCCCTTGGCTGTTGTAAGTCGTTGGTGGTGATTTGCTGCTGGTGCTCCAGGTGCTGGATGGCTGCATCTTTCTCTTAAGAACTTCTCAAGGTTGTGGTACTTGGTGATCGTAGCTGCGGTTCGCGGCTGCTGTGGCTCGTGTAGCTGAAGTCGTGCTTCTTCCAAGGCTGTAGGTATGTGCTCGCTGGTGGCGGCCGTCTCTTGATAGTGCTCGTAGTATTGCTTTTGTTCTGGGGAGATCTTCTCACTGTGGTCGGCGGACTGGCACGTGATGCTGTCAGCCTCGCGGAGCTCGTTCTGAAGGTTCTTGATGATGGTGCTGTCTGTCTCAATCTTGTGCGCGCTGTGGTCGGCGATCTTCTCGGTGGCCTTCCTGATGTTGTAGATCTCCTTCTTGTGCTCCTCTATGTGGTCCTGCTCGAGGCGCTGGAACTTGCGGTGGCTCTCCTCTTCGTGCTTGTGGTGGGCCTCTGTCGCTTTCCCGAGCTGGTTGATGATGGCTCTTTGATGTGCGGCGTGACTTCGTTGTGCTTCAGCCTTCTGCTGTGCTTCTTGGAGCTCTTGCCGCAACGTGTTGACCGTTAAGGTCTCCGTGGGTATGTGCGCCGCTGGTGGCGCTGGTGACGTGTCTCCAATGTGTCCTCGATGCCGTCTCCCGGTGTTGGGTGCGAGGGTGTCGGACCGTGGTTGCCTTGTACGTTGCTGATTCGGCGTCGGTTTCGTCGTCCGAGTCGACCCCCTGGTGCTGTCGTGGAGTCTTCGAAGCTGGCGATGTCGGTCTCCCAATAATGTGTTTTTTTGCTGTAACTCCTCCAGCTGTTGTTGTGCGTCGTCCATGTGGCTGACGGTGTCGTTGGTCACGCTGTCAACCTCTCTCTGTTGATCCTTTGCGTCGTGTGAGTAGAGCAGCGTGGACTTTTGTAGTCGAATCTTGTGGCGATGCCGTGGAAGTCGTAGTCGTCGTTGGCGTGCATCTGGATCGTGGTGATTCGGTAGTCGATGTCTGCCTTGAAGTTCTTGCGACACTCCTTGACGCGGTCGATGCGGTGCGTTGGTGGTGGTTCATTCCAGTACTGGTGTCTTCTGGCTTCTGTAAGGGTCATGGGGGCGATGTTTGCAGAAATCTCTCTTCTCTTCTCTTGTTTGCGCTGTATGTTGAGGCTGTGCTGGTGTTGCTTTTGTGTTTGCTGCTGCTGTTGTTGTCCCATGGAGCTGCCGCTGCCCGTGCCGCGGGTGTCGTCGCGGCTGTGGGCGCGCCATTGTGTTCGAGGGGCTCCTGATGTGTCCTTTTGGTGTTGCTGGTGTCGGTGCTGGTGCTGGTGCCATTGGCGATCGTGGTAGCTGCCAACTGGAGTCTGAAGTGGCGGGTGGTCTAGATGGTTGTTGGGCGCTGTGGTGGACTTCGAGTAGTTGTCGTGCTCGGTCCAGTCGTAGTAGTACTCGTGCGTCGGCGCATTCTCGTCGTAGTCGTCGGTGCCAGGCACGTCGTGGTAGAGGTAGAGCAGAAAACCGATGTCGACCAGGAAGCTGACGTCCGCGAAGAAATGTCGCGGGCCTGATGGGTACAATGAATGTGGGGGGCCAGTTGCAATATGGGGCGTGTGGCCGCGCTCGGCGTGGCCTCGAGGGGCCTCCAACGCCTTCCACCTTCTCCTCCTCCTCCTCCTCTTCCCGTCCTCTCGTCCTCTCCTTCTCTTCGCACTCCTCCCCTGCCTGAAAAGTGAAATTTGGGGGTGGGGTCGGGGACGGGAAGCGAGCGAAACCTGTCAGCGGCCAGTCTAAAAAAAGTGCGGGGAAGCCAAGGCCCCAGCACTGGCATGGGTGCCGCGGGCCTCGGGCAGGGCGCGGCCAAGCGAAAGCCAGAGAGGGGAGGCGAGCGAGGGAAACAGGAAGGGGGGAATGGAGGGGAGGCGGGGGTCGGGCCAGGGGAGAGGCGAGGGGGGGAAAGGGGAGAGTGAGGTGCGGGGGGGGGGATGGGACGAGGAATGATGGGGGGGGGGAAGGCGGAGAGGGAGATGGAGGGGGAGACAATGAAGGGGGGGGGGGGGAATGGTTTGCAGCCCCCGCCCCGTGACATGCCCGCCCTGCCCCTATCTGTTAATGAGGAAACGGGTCCGGACAGAAACAGGTCCTGGACCCTGGGGCTTTCCACCAGGACGAGGGTCCCAGGGAGGGGCCCGAGAGCCCGAAAAAATAGCAAAAACATCAGAACCCGTTTCCCTCAAGACCCGTTTCCTTGGTGGCGACCCGTGGCCGACCCCACCTCCCCTAAGGCCTCTTGGCCAGCCGGCCCGTCCTCCCAAAGCCAGCCCGGCGCTGGCACCCAGCCGCGAACGCGCGACAAACCCGTGGAGTCCTGTGGATTCCCGCGGCTGCCGCGCTGCGAGCCGAGGGCGGCATTAGAACGAACGCTCAGAACGCAGCGCTGGTCCCACAGTAGGCGCATCAATTAAGAAAGCCCCGATGGTCCCATGGATCCACGGAAGCTCTGGGACACCTTAAGACCCTCAAGGAGCCACGACGCGTGTGCCCCAACAGTTGATATAGCAAGATTTGTGATCGTGTGCGTGTGTGTTTGTGTGTGTGTGTGTGTGTGTTTACTGTACGGCAAATTCACGTACCGTCGCGCCGAGGATCGAAGGTGAAACTTCCCGTCGTTTTCGGCGTCTGGAAGCCCGTTTCAGGGCCATGACGGAGCCTGGGAAGGATCCAATGACACTTGTATTATTTAAGTAATCGGGGTGGCACAACCTTGGCATCAATCCATGCTCCCGTCAGGAAGGCACGCGATGGTAGCAAACCCAATTGCTTGACTGATCCTTGCTGGTATGTCGCTGCAGTGGAGGCTCACTACACAAAACTCTGCATGTTCCAATATAAACCAAGAACACACGTGTTACACTGACGCTAGCCTTACATGAAACGCCAACCACAGGAGAGATGGATGCTTTTTGGTGGGTTTTGGTCGGAGATGCCTACGGCAAGTTCACGTAACGATGACGTCGGCGTTACTTTGAATCACCGCATGGGCGTTTCCAGCCCTGAGCGATCGCGGTTTTCCGATAGCGCAAACAGCTCGGTGTCGGCTGATGCTGATTCAGGGCCTGGGCGGGGGCGATGCCCTGGGAAGTGGGGGGGGCCTTGGGATCGTCGGCCCCGGGCTGTATGGCCACAGTCCACCCCGTGGAGCGTGGCCGAAGACCCGCTGCACGGGCGGAGTAGAGGGCCGCGCCGAGGGTCGGTGGAACGAAGCAGCGTGGGGTGGGGCGAACGCTTCTTTCTGATGCCAACAGCTTAATTTGTGCGTGCGTGTGTGTGTGTGTGTGTGTGCGTGTGTGTGTGTGTGTGTGTGTGTGTGTGTTTCTTGTTCCTGACAAGAGGTTCACGCGGGACTTCTTGAACCCCGTCGTTTCGAAACTCCGAAACCCGAATAGATCTGACGCGACACGGGCCGGAACAATTAAGAAACGCATCGTGGAATCCAGAAGTATAGGGATGTCCCGGGCAAATCGGGGCATACCACCTCAAGCCAAACTATATCGGAGCCCCGAACTCCGAGGGTGTCTCACGCGAAACGGGCCAGACCACTTCAATATCAGGGCAAATCAAGGCCTCCTCTTCGAGCGTCTTCTTCTCTCCCTCTTCCTGGATGCTCTTCGCCCGCATGCCGTCCGATATGCGAGTTGCGAATGCCTGCTCCTCCTCGTCCTCCTCCATGGCTTCCCCCCCTTCTACTCCCTTCCACCTCTGTCTGATTCCTTTCCACCCCTCCTCCTACCCCCTTTGTCCTGCCCCTCTGGCCGAGCCGAACAGGCGCGCGAGAAATATATTTTAACAGGGCACGCCAAGAAGTTCTGCACGGCCACTGGACGACGACACGAGAGTGAAGCACATTGACGTGACCCGCGGCCGAAGAACCGCTCCCATCAGCTGCGGGCGAATCAAGCGCGCAAGCTGTCCCAGCATATATGGCACCATGTTCCCCCATGGCCGCAGGAAACTTTCGGAAACCACAGGAAGCCCCAGGAAACTCTGCGAAGGCCCCGAAGCTCGGGAGGCCCTTTTAGGGACCCCAGCAGCTCCGAGGGCATGTGCGGGCATGTGCGTCGGCATGTGCGGGCACGCGTTTCAACGTACGTGGGTGCATGTGCGAGCCCGCGCGGTCTTCCGCAAGAGAATTGCGCAGGCATGTGCGTTCATGTGCCGCCGGCAAATCTGCAATAATCGCAAACCTTCCAGATGTGCAAGCATGTGTGGGCATGTTCGCTGGCATGTGCAAACACATGATGCACCAATCGCAACGCACATCACCCTGCATTTGCCTGGGCGCGCATGCACAACAAAAGATGCAACCCAAAAGGCCCGCACATGCCGGGCACATGCTGGGTAAATGTTGCGCACATGCACGCACAGGCCAGAGCAAAAGCGGCCGCACATGCACGCATATGCAACCCAAAGATATAGAAATGAGTGCGGTGTGCTTTTTCAGTACGCAACATCTAGGATGAAAGCCTAAAACAAATCGAACACGGGCACCGAACGAGCTCCAGTGAGCCCCAGATGGCCGCGGAAAAGGACAGGAAAGGCAAGCAACATGTACAATGATACTGTTCGGGTAGGGCGAAGGAGGAGGAAACCAGCGTATGCGATAGGCATGCTTGTTCGACAGGGCGGGGACGCTTGGAGCTGGCGACGCGCAGCACATCTGCACACACGACAAAATGTCGGGTGGTCAGGGATGAAAGGGCACGTTTTGCGCCGACCTTTGACTTGCCTGGGTTGCCCCTGCAATCCATTCGAGTCCCTGGGGGCCTTCGAGGAATAACCATAATCCGTAGGGACACCCACTGCCAGGCGGGCTTCATAGGTGGTGTGGCTCCTGCAAGGGGGGTGGACAGTCAGAGATGGGCGGCCTTTCGAGGAAGGCTCCCGCCTCCGAAAGGGTGTGGGGCGCCGGTATTTCAGCAGAGGAACAACACACATGACACAAACAACAACTTTTGGAGGTCCGCGCGGATTTCTTGAATCTGCGCTGGACCCCTCTCTCTGGCACGCGGAGTGCGCCAAGGGCGGCGCCGAAGGGCTTCCAACGCCGATCCGAGAAATCCGCGCGGACCTCCGAAAATCTGTATGTTATGCTGTTTCTTTATCCCCGATTTGAAGGGAGGTCCTTTCTGAAAGGCCCGTCGGCCTTTGTGAGGAAGCCACCATTCTCGCCCTGCCCCTCTCTTAGCGCCGCCAGGGGAGGTCCTGACCCCAAGACGCGGCTCCGTGCGAGCAAGGTAGAGGGGGGATGTCGAGGGACAGCATGGGAGGACGAGGGGGATAGGCGGACGAGAACAAGGAACACGCTTTTTTGGTTCATTTCACCTGCGAACGCTCAGGGCAACGATGCCATCAGAGTGTTAGCAACAAGCTGCATACATTGGGGGAATTGGCTTCGCCGGCGTGGCAGCCGTGCTGCGGAACTGAGCGTGGGCTCTGAGCAGGGCCAGCTTTGATTGGTTCAGCGTGATTGCCGAATGCAAGTAGGACGACCACAAGTAGTGACAGCAACGAAAACAAAATGTACCTTTCCAGTGCGAAGGCTCCGCTACGCTACGCGTGCGAAAGCACAGGAGCACACATGATCAGTGCACGAAACCACGTTGCACATTTTTTCACTGTATTATGTGCTGTGGAATTGTTGCTCAAGCTACGCGCAGCTGCCGCTTCGCATCAGGGGATGCGGATCAAAAGCGGACGACCCTGCGACAAACACATAAAGTTACAACACCATTGAGGGATGCCCCAGCGTGAAATTCGCCGGCCCAACGGGCCAAGGGCGTGCTAAGATCTCTGGTAACTGGTCAACAATATTTCTAGTTCGCGCGCGCGGGGCTGCCCCTGGGGGTCCCTGGACGAAAAACATCCCCGCAAGTCCTGGCCAAATCCGGGCCGGATCCCGGCAAGGTCCCGGGCAGGTCCTGGGCAGGTCCTGGCCAGGTCCCAGCAGGCTCCCAAGAGCGCTCCAGGAGCGCTTCAAGTGGCCTGCAAGAGAGCTCAACATGGTCCGAGACGGTCCAAGAGCGATCCAAGACGCCAACCAAATATTGCCTCCAGA